GACATCACCAAGTGTCTCCTTTTTTAAAATATAAATTTTTTTGTATTGTCTATATGATAGCTCTAACATTCAAAGTCTTCACGGGTCTGTATCTGCCTTTTCTCATTGCTGCTCAAAGGGACGTGGTCTTTCCTTTGGGACTTTATCTGTGGGAGTATTCTGAGGCCCGGCTTGAAGTGACTCCACAGAGGATTCTGTCGCCTTCTGACAGCTCTCTTGGGGTGCCACCAACCTGGAACCACTTTAAACTATCTGCTTAAGAGTTTTCAGACCACAATACTAGCAGCCATTTAAACTGTAATCTTGTGCCAGGACAATCTTGTGACAAAAATTCTCAGATTTTTTCTTTTCTCTTCACCAGCACAGAGTCAAGACAGGAAATCTTCCTTCCTGCCATTCTGCACTTCCTGCTCTCGATGTGGTCCATGGAGTCCCAGCTTTAAGCAAGGGCTCCTGGTAGATTCCCTACCTAACGTAAGCCCTGGACTTCATCTCCTGTCGCCAGCGTTCCATGGAGTCATCAAAGCAGAAGCTCAATGTCTCCAGGTCCTGGCAAATACCTTCAGGAGACTTAGGCATCACTTACATTTCAGGGTTCTAAGCTTCTCTTATCTCAGGTCTCTGTGGAGTCTTAACTTTCATGACAGCTCAGTATACATGAAAACACACATACACACACACACACACTCACACTCCATTTATTTCAGGGTATCTACCACTCCTCCATTACTACAAGACAAGAAAATCTTATTCTACATTTATTCTTTCCCCTCCTTAAATTCATTTAGACACCAAGTATTTCATACAATCTAAGAAATTTCTAATCCATCCCAGTTGCTAATCAAGCCTCATCATTTCTTAGACATGCTGTTCAGACAGCCTCCTAGGCCAGTCTCCTAACAACCAATCTTTTCCTCCCACTAAGGTTTGGAGGTGGTGAGAGACAGACATAAGTCCTAGACTGTCCTTTGGGTTTCAATCCATCCTAGCAGGTTCTGGTTTGTCCTTGCTCTACCCTAATTTCACATCTATCTTCCCTTCCTCACAGTCTGCCCAGTGGACTTCAGGATAAGCACCAAGTACAGAAGCAACATTTTATAAACTGTTCAGCTTCTACAATTGCATATATTATAGGGAAAATGTCTATAATATACTCTTTATCATATCTTCTAGTGTTTCGATTCTCTGATCAAACCCTAACTGATACAGCATACAGAGATCTGTCTCATTCCTTTAAAGAGCTGCAGTGTGATCCATCAGATGGATGTAGTTTAGTTTATCCAACCAACCCCACATCCCCTGCTGATGGACAAATGGGTTGTTTCCAGTCCTTGTTCTCATAAATGGCACTGCAATGAACAGTAACATTTCTTTCAGACTTTTATCAGTATACCTCTGAGATGGAGTCCCTGAAGTAGACTGTGAGTCAAACAATATTATTCCTAACAGTTTTATTCCCTCCTTAAAATGTGTAACTTCTTTTGGAAACCATGTAAGCAACTGTGGCAGAGATTAGTAGTTGCCAATATCTTCCCTTCTTCACTGTGTAACAATAAAATTTTTGGTTGGGCACTAAGCTAAAGACTACATTTTTCAGCCTCCCTTGTGGAAAGCTGCGGCCCTGTGATTCAGTTCTGACCAATGGGATAGGGGCAGATTTAATATGCACAGCTACCAAGTCATTCTTTAAAGAGAAAGAGAATTCTTTTCCCTGTCCTCTTTCCCCCTTCCTGGTGGCTGAAATGTATATGTGATGTTGGGAGCAGAGCAGCCGTCTGGATCCAGGAGCTGAAAGTCACAGGTGGAAGACAGCAGAGAAACCAGACAGAGGGTCCTGGCGCCCTGATGACTGAGGAGCCACCACACAGCCCTGGATGCCAACCTGGATATTTATGCGAGAGAAGGATGAATTTCCATCTTACTTGAGGTCTTATTGTGGGTTTTATTGTTAGCCAAATATATCTAACTTTTTGAAATTGTCTAATGCATTAATATATCTAAGAATTTAAGATATCATTCCATAAATAAAATATAAGGGCTTAAATATACAGATTTTATTAACATTGCCTTAGACTACTCAAAAGTTACTCCTTTTATATCCTTAAACTTGAACATGTCCAATTTAGTTAAGATTATTGGATAATTAACCTAAATGAGCTATTATGTAATGAACACAACTCCCAATAAACTCCCATTTTTACAAAGAATTATCAGCCTAGTATTTATAATATAATATACATATATTTATTATTCTCTGAACCTTGCCAATATGAACTGTTTGAAAAAACTTTAAATACAAAGCTTTGTATCTTTAGCCCACCGTTTTAACTATTCCTAAATGTATGCTGGAAATTCAAGAAGAACGAATGTAGGAAAAAAGTCAATTAAATTAGTACTTATGGATACTACAAGGCTTCTTTTATCATCTCTTAGAAATTATCAGGCTACTCTGGTCTTTGAAATGAATTGAAAGCACCTTCTTTTATCTACTGGATTCTATCAATACAGAACTGTCTTCCACAAGGCACCTCAGACTAATGAATCGAAATGCTCCATTCCTTTTATCATTCCAATCCACTGGCAGTGTGGAGTTTACTCCAGCAGTGGGAAGTAGATCTGAGAGATTAACAGAGCTGGAGAACAGTGGGCTGCAAGCAGGCAGCAAGTGAAGAATCAGTGTCAGAACCTTCAGAGCCCCCACCCATATCTCCCCAAAAAGAGTAGAAATCAAAATATGGTCAGCTGCAAGATACTGATTTGAACCAGAGGCCAAGTCTAAGAAAACCATGGATTTAAAGCATCTTGAATTCTATACAAGAACCAAGAATTATATAAGATAAACGGAGATAGGCAACATCAGTTACTGCTTCATAATCGACACTAAGCACTGGTTCCCAAAATTTAGTATGAGTCCGAATCACCTGAAGAGCTTCTAAGACAGACAGCCGGCCCCGCTCCCACAGGTCCTAAGTCAGTAGGCCATGACTTGAGGCCTGACAACTGCATTTCTAATAAGCTCCCAGGACAGCAGGCTGGTGCCCAGGGATGAACTCTGATGACCACCCGGAGAACACTCACGTGTAGATTCAGGTGGTTCTCCCAGCCTACCTTCGTCTGCAAACATGCTCTCTAGCTATGAAAGAACTAGTGCTTTTCTGGTCTTTACTGAAGCATTAGGAGTGAAGAACAGATTGAGAGTCAGACTCCTCAAAATGGCACATAATCAGTCATGGGGAGACTTCTGAAACCCTTTTGAGCCCCGTCCTCATCCGGGTCTTCCACGATCTCTCCCAGGGCCGAGCCTACAACAGTTTCTCAAGCTCATTCTCTCAGCTGGAATCCTACAACAGGAAACAGTTCCTTACCAACCCTGATTTCAAAATTTGCAGCAAAGTGAATATTACTTTTCCAAATGTTTCTTATTCAGTCTCCATTTATTAAATATTGAAAAAAAATCTGCATTAATTGTTTAGGTTTAACAGCTGGTTGGCCTTACAAATATAATACCCACAGGGTATCCAAAGTAATTAGAAATCAAACAGCTCCTCAGTATATCCCATCGATGTTTTCCTGTTCTCCTCAAGATTTTAAGTTCTTATAATATCTTTATTCCATAACGGGCTATAGATTACAACAGAGTGCCTAAAATATTTAGAGGTTCAATTTAAAATTTTTAACTTAAGAGCAATTGGAATTCTGAGAAGTTTGCAATGGAGATGTAACATGGCACAGCCACTTTGAAAGACTCTTTAGTAGATTCCTATAAAGTGAAATGTACATCTGCCCTGTGACACAGCAATTCCATCCCTGGATGTTTATTACCCAAAAGAAATGAAACAGTATGTTCAAAAAACACTTGTACAGGAATGTCCCAAGCAGCCTTGTACAAAATAGGAAAAAACTGAAAACAATGATGGACATTTGTTCATCAACATGGGAATGGACAAACTGTGATATATTCATACAATGGAAATGCTGCTCAGCAATGAAAACGGAATAAGCTCCTGATATGAGCAACAACACAAATGAATTTCAAACACATCAGGTTGAGTAAAAGAAGGCAAATGCAAAAGAATATATACTGTGTGATTCATTTAGATGAAGGCCAAAACTACGTGCAACTAATCTATGGTGACAGCAAGCCAAGTGGTTAATTTAGGGTAGAAAGAATGCATTGGCAGGAAAGAGGTGAAAGGAGCTTCTGGAGTGATGAAAATGTTCTATGTCCCCTTTTGCTGAGTGGTTACATGGATGTATAGGACTGTCAAAAAAATCTGTCAAACTGAACACTTAATATCTAACCATCTTATTGTACGTAAATCACATCAGAATAAAACAAAATGTGTTTTTAAGCTTAACTATTCAAGGAAAAGAATGATTTGCCAAAGCAATGTTTCTTGAATTCAAAATAAAATATACTTTAAACAACACAGTTTGATATTAAAAATTTCCAGTATAGCTGATAAATAAGTAGTCACAGACAAGTGGTTAAAAAAATCATCATTTTGAGCTAAAAGGAGGGGAACTAAACATCTCAGTTTGCCCTAGACAGTCATCCCAGTACAGACCTGATGTCACAGCATTAATAGTGGCCCCCCCTTCACTATCAAAAGTATCCTAATTTAGATGAAGGCCAATAAGGACACTTTAGCTAAAAGGGCATTTGATATTATTTAGTACAAAGAGCTCATTCACTTTTTCATTCAACCCGCATTTAATAAACATACACTATGTAGCTAAACATAGTCCCTATGCCCTTGTTACCACTTCCCTTTGCTTCTTTGTTTCCACAATCAAAATATAAAATGGCTACATGGATTTTCCCTAAAGTTAGCATGAAATACACAGTTGAAGACAAACTAAATATAGAAGAAATAAGAATTTTTTTTCTACAAGGGAAATATAAATTAAGCTTATAAAAACAAGTTCATAATTTTTCGAGCTGTGCAAAACAAAACGTATAAAGATATTCACAAATATAAAATAAAGAAAACCTTTACCTGCTGCCCGGTAAAGTATCTTAGGTTCAAAAAATATACAAGGATTTTTATCCTCTATGCACGACAAAAGAAGTCCCTTGGCCTGGAAAGGGCTTCTGGGTACAACCACCTGCAAAACAGATTTTTTAAACACAATTTCAGTGAAAAGGTATCCCAGTAAACTCACTCATAAGGGTTGATATTTAAATAACCAATTGTTACTAACTGACTATACAAATCTTGTATTTTTAGCCTAATTAGCATTTATTATAAAAGTTACATATTATCCCAAAAAATTCCATTTGTTCAACAAATATGTATCAGATGTCCACCACATACTCCTATTTTCAAAGGGTATGCAACTCTCTTCTCCAATTTTAACATATCAAAATCTCCTCCTTTCCCATGAAAAATATAGTCTTCACTTCCTAAGTGGATAAATAATCCACTGAACTTTACGACCCAGGCACTGTAACGTCCAGTTATTTCGAAGCTCAGAGAAGTGTGGTTACGGCACACTTGCCTTGAGGAAAGGGCTCCAGTCCCCCCTTGAGAATGAGGCCGCCGATGAGGAAGATGCTGACAATCAGAGCAGGGAGCACATGTGTTCACGGGGTCAAGAGCTCCCTGGATTAATTCATCTACTGTTCACAGCAGGAAGCTATTGTTATTTTCCCCAATTTAGAAATAGAGACTAAGGCTTCAAGAGGGAGTAAGGAACTTGCCCAAGGTCACATCACTTCTGAGACCAGGGATTCTCACTCGGGCTGACTCTTAGCTTCTACATTTTGCCTCAAATCACACACTTGTGTCTAGTTTTTAATGATTGTTAAATCATTGCATAAAGACAAGTGTTACACAGGAAGAGTCATCATAAAAATAAATCTGAATTTATCACAAAGACTCAAATAAGATTCCTTGAAGCAAATTACATCTGGCTTTCAAAGTCACTTTTATACCATTTTATTGAAGGATTTTTATTTACAAAATAAAACAGCACAAATCTCACTATTTTATTCTCTATAAATAGACTGCTAAACACACTGCTTACCATAACACACAATGTCTTTATCTTATGATCCTATTTTAGTTTCTCTTCATCTGCTTTCTTCATGTGTTTATTTTTAGACTTTTGTACTATATGTATTTTCTCATTTGGGATGAAACAAGAGAAAGAAAGAGGAGGAGGGGAGAGAAGGTAGGGGACTGAGAGAAATGATCTGCTCTTAAAAACACGGGGTAACATCATAAACATTAAATAAGAATCGACGTTCAGCTCAAGTACAAAAATAACTGTTGCTGCAAACGAGGGTTCTGTCTCGACCTCCACTTCTAGCATACATGGAAAAACTACGCAACCCCTACTCAACTAAGTCATGACTTTGATCTAGTAGAAAAAATAAGACGTAGACACACATTCACAAACAATTCATGTTATCAAAAACAGCCAGCCCTGGGTGGGTACAGAGATGGTTCAACATCTGCAAATCAATCAACATGATACACCACATCAACAAATTAAGGAATAAAAACTACATGGTCATCTCAATAGACGCAGAGAAAGTAATTGACAAGATCCAATAGCCATTTATGATAAAAACTCTGAACAAAGTGGGGATAGAAGGGAACTACTTCAACATAATAAAGGCCATATATGACAAACCCATAGCCAACATCATATTCAATGGGCAAAAACTGAAGACCATCCCCTGAGAACAGGAACAAGACAAGGATGCCCACTATCACCACTCTTATTCAACATAGGGCTGGAGGTTTTGGCCAGAGCAATTTGGCAAGAGAAAGGAATAAAAGGAATCCAAATAGGGAGTGAAGAAGTAAAACTCTCACTGTTTACAGATGACATGATCTTATATATAGAAAACCCTAAAGAATCCATTGGAAAACTATTAGAAATAATTAACAACTACAGTAAAGTCGCAGGGTACAAAATCAACTTACAGAAATCAGTTGCATTTCTATACATTAATTTTGAACTTACTGAAAGAGAACATAAGACTACAATTCCATTGACATTCGCAACAAAAAGAATAAAGTACCTAGGAATAAATTTAACCAAGGAGGTGAAGGACTTATACAATGAAAACTATAACACATCACTGAAAGAAATTGATAATGACATAAAGAGATGGAAAGAGATTCCATGCACGTGGATTGGAAGAATAAACATAGTTAAAATGTCCATACTACGTAAAGCAATCTACAGATTCAACGCAATCCCTATCAGAATCCCAATGACATTCTTCAGGGAAACAGAGCAAAGAACACTAAAATTCATATGGGGCAACAAAAGACCCCGAATTGCTAAAGCAATCCTGAGAAAAAGAACAAAGCTGGAGGCATCACAATCCCTCACTTCAAGATGTACTACAAAGCCACAGTGATCAAAATGGCATGGTACTGGTACAAAAACAGGCACACAGATCAATGGAACAGAACTGAAAGCCCAGGAATAAAACCACACATCTACGGACAGCTAATCTTTGACAAAGGTACCAAGAACATACAAAGGAGAAAAGACAGTCTCTTCAATAAATGGTGTTGGGAAATATGGACAACCACTGCCAAAATAATGAAAATAGACCATTATCTCATGCCATACACAAAAATAAACTCAAAATGGATCAAAGACTTGAAGGTAAGTCCTGAAACCATAAAACTCCTGGAAGATAATAGAGGTAATACACTCTTTGACATCGAACTAAAAAGGATCTTTTCGAATACCATGTCTTCTCAGACAAAGGAAACAAAAGAAAAAATAAACAAGTGGGGCTTCATCAGACTAAAGAGCTTCTGCAATGCAAAAGAAACCAGGATCAAAACAAAGAGACAACCCATCAATTGGGAGAAAATATTTGCAAATCATATATCTGACAAGGGGTTAATCTCCATGATACATAAGGAACTCACACAACTGAACAACGGAAAAACAAACAGCCTGATCAAAGAATGGGCAGAGGATATGAACAGACATTTTTCCAAGGAAGATACACAAATGGCCAAAAACACATGAAAAGACGTTCAACATCACTAATCACCAGGGAAATGCAAATCAAAACTACACTAAGATTCCACAATATGCCTGTTAAAATGGCTATAATCACTAAGACTAAAAATAACAAATGTTGGAGAGGGTGTGGAGAAAAGGGAACCCTCATACACTGTTGGTGGGAATGCAAACTGGTGCAGCCACTATGGAACAGTATGGAGATTCCTCAAAAAACTAAAAATAGAAATACCATATGACCCAGCTATCCCACTACTGGGTATCTACCCAAACAATTTGAAATCAACAATCCAAAGTAACATATGTACCCCTATGTTCACTGCAGCACTATTCACAATACAAGACATGGAAACAATCCAAGTGCCCAGCAACTGATGATTGGATAAAGAAGATGTGGTATATATATACACACAGTGCAATACTACTCAGACATAAAAAGAGACAAAATCGGGGCTGGCCCCGTGGCCGAGTGGTTAAGTTCGCGCGCTCCGCTGCAGGCGGCCCAGTGTTTCGTTAGTTCGAATCCTGGGCGCAGACATGGCACTGCTCATCAGACCACGCTGAGGCAGCGTCCCACATGCCACAACTAGAAGAACCCACAACGAAGAACACACAACTGTGTACCGGGGGGCTTTGGGGAGAAAAAGGAAAAAATAAAATCTTTAAAAAAAAAAAAAAAAGAGAGACAAAATCATCCCATTTGCAACAACATGGATGGACCTGGAGGGAATTATGCTAAGTGAAATAAGCCAGACTGAGAAAGACACACACCAAATGATTTCACTCATATGTGGAATATGAACAAACATATGGACAAAGAAAACAGTTCAGTGGTTACCAGGGGAAGGGGAAGAGGGGGTGGACACTGGGGGAAGGGAAGTACTTATGTGGTGACAGACAAGAAATATGTACAACTGAAATTTTACACTGATGTAACATATTATGAACTCAATAAAAAAATTAGAAATCAGCCCTGGGTGGACTTACATCTATGAGTTTCTATAATGATTCCCTGGAAAGCTCTCAGTCTTACTCTTCGAAGTCTATGAAATTAATGTCAGAGTTAAGCCAGTGCTGCTTCAAGGAGAATAGTCCATAAGCCTGGGCATTGGACAGTTGATCTAAAAGAAATACTAAGCTCTTTTTTTAAAAACAATTAAGTTCACATAAATTCCAAAAATCCTGTTTGCTTGCTTCTAGATAAGCATATTGGTTAACAGAATGAACCAAAATCAAATCAAGATCAAATGAAGTACATAAATGAGGATACCTTGATTCCTGGGCAGTGTGCAAAAAAAGCTTCCGGACTCTGAGAATGGTAGACAGCCCCATGGCCAACACAGCCCCAAGGGGCCCGGATGGTGAGGCTTCCACAATTAAAAAGATCCCCAGAGCGATAGCGATACTTGGCGGCTTCGTTAACAATCTGAGGGGGGAAAGAGAAGGGACATGTCACAATGAGGCCTTTACTCCCAGCCATTTTCTTAAACCATTTTATTAGATCTTTAAATATAAGCCCATAACTAAATGAGTCCTAATGCACCAGCTCAAGGGTAACAAAAGTTCCTAAGAAGGGGGTGGGAGAGTGGAGCTAAGACTTCAACACTTCTGACGCTCAATTATACTACAATGCAATCCTCTTACCTGATCAAAAGCAGGGAAAATATAATCTGCAAACTGAATTTCTGCAATGGCAGTGGCACCAGTGACTGCAATTCCAATTCCAAACCCAACAATTCCTTGTTCACACAATGGAGTGTTAAAAACTCTATCTTTTCCTAAAAAAAGAAAACAAAGTCAGCTTAACATGACAAATGAGAGTAACATAATGCAAAATACAACTGAAAATGCAATGAGTTAATAATGGTGAGATGGAGCAAAAAAGAAGCACAGAACAGGTGAAGGAAATGGAAACCAACCTGTATGATGGCCGGCTTAGAGGAGAACATGTAACTATATTAACTGTAAGTAATCTAAATGTTCCAATTAAAAGAAAGATTGCCACACTGCGATAAAAAAAGCAAAATTCAACTACTTAAAAGAAAACACTCAAACAATGAACATAACAGAAAAGTTCTAAGTAAAAAGGAAGAAAAACTATACAATGAAAAACTTAAGCAAGGAAAGTTGATGTCACTACATTAATGGCAGACAAAGCAGATTTTCAGGGCAAAGGCATGACCAGCGATAAGAGGGAAACTCCATAGTGTTAAAGGGCTGAATTCACAAGAAGGACATAACTGTAAATTTATACTCATGCAATAACACAAGCTCCAAATAAACTGGAGAAATTAACAGAATTAAAAAGAGAAACGGATAAATTCCCAAAATAGTGGGGGGACTTCAAAGTACCAATCTCACTAACTGTCAGAAAAAGCATACCAAAATCAAAAGGTAAAAACTGTAGAAGATTTGAACGGGATCAACAAACATGACCTCACCGACACTCACCGGGCACCACACCCAACAGCCAGGAACACAAATGCTCTCCAAGGAAACAGAGAACACTGACATTCACTGGCCATAGACTGGGCTATAAATCCAACCTCAACAAACTTCACAGATTAAAATCATACAGAGTCCACTTTCTGACCATGGTAGAATTACACTAGAAGTCAATCACAAAAAGACAATTAGAAAATCCTTATGTTAGAAAAATACATATGTCTAAGTAACCCATGGCTAAGAAGAAATGATTGAAATTAGGAAGTATTTTGAAATGAATGATAATGAAAAAACTATGTATCACAACTTATGGAGGTTACCATTTCGGCAATGGCAGAGTAGCTTTTTTCAGACTAACCCTCCCACATCTAATGATTACAAACTCTGGACAAAATGTAACAACTACTTAAAGGCACTGGAGAGCCAAAAAGCAGGCCTGAATTGAAGAGAACTCAACCCTTGAAAGGAAGGAAGCACAATAGACAAGCATGACACTTACGAGGCTTGTCTGCTGAGGGGACTTCCAAGTCTCTGTGACATGGGACAGCTAGAATTCAGACAGACAGACTCAGTCTTATTGGCTTGAGGTGTCAGAATGGAGTCTGGGGCTATCAGTGGCTAGAAATTGATGCACTAAGTCCCTAAGAGAAGGATATTACATGGGAGCACCCCAAAATCTGTGCATCAACTCTGCTCAAATCCTCAGCAGACCCCTTGCCTGCAGGAGCCTGCAGGAGCCCAGCAGATAACACAGCTGGAAGCTCAAAGAGCTGAGCAGAGACTGCAGCTCTACCCACCGAAGAGGAGATAGAATCTGGAGTTTGAGATTCTTCAAATCAAAGGGGCTCAATAAACAACTTAGGCTTTCCATTGAAACCGCAAGGTATAAGGTTATGAGCGTACAACTCAGTTCTCACTGAAATTTCACCACCTCTCAGCCAATATCAGCATTTGGTGAGAAAATACTAATTTCAGGCAGCTGGATGGACACAAACAAGGGCCACAGTGTGGTCAAGTGACCAAAAGTTTGGGGACAGATCTGGGATTGCCATTTCAGTTCCATAATCCAGGGATACCAGTTCTTGGTGCAGAGAATTCACTCTCAGCTCAGTCATTCTTTTGAATGTGAATCACAAATAGGGCAAGTGCTGGGAGATGCCAACTAGACACAGCCTGTCGCCTGCACTCTAAAAGCAGCTGCAAACATTTAAAGCATGATTCCTACTCATCATGATCTACGACTATCTTCTGAAATTGTGACCTCTATCCCTCATCAGTTCCCTTTTTGACTTCAAGTAACTTGATGATTTCTGGAAGTCTATGATTCCATTGAACTAAGAACAATTCATCGATAGAAAGTGAGCGCAGGCTCCAGCCACCACCTGTGGAGTTCACACCCCTGGAACACCTCACGCACCTCAACCAGATGGGATAAGCAGGGCCCGTATTCCTTGCCATTTCAAGTTCCCTGGATTCAGATATTTCAGTAAATCTAAACCTTTTTTGCTGCTAGAAGGCAAAAATTTGAGTTTCTCAGAACTCTTACTCAAAAACATGCTTGGTTTGAGGAAATAGCTTCACAACTCTCTCCAACAAGTTTCTATGACCTAACAGAAACTGCTTTAACAGGAAATACTGTTAAAATCTGTTTCCATTTTCTCCCCAACAGGTAATGATGGAAGGTAGGCACACAGCTTAAATGCACAATACTGACGACTCCCTTGCCTGACGTGGAGTCCACACGCACAGGATCCCATGGGGAAATTAACACGACAGTGACTGCAGCACGAGCCAAGACAGACCTAGGTTAAGTGCCATCTCCACAAGTTGCCAAACTCCCCAAGGGTCAATCTCTTGTCTATAACAGAAGAATCATGACACTGAAAAGACAAATAATTCAGACACTTATTCAACCAACGTTTACAAATAAAGTACCTCATATCGTATAGACACTCCTCTAGAGGCAGAGGACACAGCACACAAAACAGAGAAAAACTCCTATCCTCACGGAACCTACATTCTAGTCAGGGAAAATAGACAATAAAAGCAAAATAAATAAGTAAAATATATAGTGTGTTAGATGATGACAAGTGCTATGGAGAACAGTAAAGCAGAGACTTTAGGTGACTAGGGGGAGGAAGTGAGACTGTGATTTTAGATAGGAAGATGGGAAAGCCCCACTAAGAGGTGACATTTAAGGGAAGAGCTGAAGGAAGTGAGAAAGTGTACCATGCGCATATACAAGGGAATAATGTTCTGGGCAGAGGGATCAGCAAGTGCAGAGGTCCCGGGGTGTGAACATGTTGATCACATCAGAGGAAAGGCAAGAAGTCCAGAATGCCTGGTCTGAAGTAAGAGAAATAGTGATAGCAGATAAAGCTGAAGAGTTAAGACAATGGGACGGGGAGGTGGCACAGATCAGACAAGGCCTTGTAGGTCATTGTAAGCACCCTTTTACTGTGAAAATGACTGAGTCACTAAGTTGGTGAGTGAGACAGGAAGCCGTTGAGCAAAGTCATGCCATTCTCTGCATTGCATTTCGACAGGATCCCTCTAGCTGGTATTTGGTGGATAGCCTATAAATAGGCATGGGTGGACACAGCAAGACTGATTACAGGATCCTGCAATAACCCCAGTAAGAGATGATGACATATAATAGCGGAAAAGGTGTAAGACTCTCAATATAGTCTAAAGATAGAGTCAAAAGGATATGCTGATAAAACGGATGTGGAGTATGAGTCAGAGAAATGCAAAGGATGATGCAGAGGTTTTTGGCCCAAACAACCTGAAGGAGAGAGTTGCCATTAACCAAGAAAGGGCAACTATGAAGAAGCATGTTGGGATGAGATAAGAGGAGTTCAGTCTTGGAGATGTTAAGTTTGAGATGCCTTCAGACATGAAGGTAAAGCTATTAGTTACTATTAATACGATAGACAAGTTGAAAATCTTCAACATAAAGATGGCATTAAAAAACATGGGATTGGGGCTAGCCCAGTGGCATGGTGGTTAGGTTCACATGCTCCACTTCAGCAGTCCAGGGTTCGAGGGTTTAGATCTTGGGTGTGGACCTGCACACTGCTCATCAAGCCAAGCTGCAGCGGCGACTCACATACAAAATAGAGGAAGACTGGCACAGATGTTAGCCCAGGGACAATCTTCCTCACCAAAAGAAAAAAAAAAGACAAAAAAAACAAAGAAAAATATGGGACTGGATGAAATTATCGAGTAAATTTAAATGGGTACATAGAGAAGAGAGCCAATGTTAAAAAGATAAAAGGTGAGGGGCCAGCCCTGTGGCCTAGTGGTTAAGTTTGGCACACTACACCTTGGCAGGCCAGGTTCAGGTCCAGGCACTGACCTACAGCACTCATCAAGCCATTCTGTGGCAGCGTCCCACATACAAAATAGAGGAAGACAGGCACAGATGTTAGTTCAGGGAGAATCTTCCTCAGCAAAAAAAAAAAAAGGTGAGAAACAATCAGCAAAGTTGAGAAGAAAAAAAAGCCAGAGTTTGGAGAAAACTAGGAGAATGTGCTGGCCAAAAGGCCAAGTCAAGAAAGCGCTTCTGGGGCCAGCCCAGTGGTGCGGCCGTTAAGTGTGCACGTTCCAATTCAGTGGCCCGGGGTTCACTGGTTCAGATCCTGGCTGTGGACATGGCACCACTTGGCAAGCCATACTGTGGCAGGAATCCCACATAGAAAGTAGAGGAAGATGGGCACAGATGTTAGCTCAGGTCCAGTCTTCCTCAGCAAAAAAAGAGGAGGATTGGCAGCAGATGTTAGCTCAGGGCTAATCTTCCTCAAAAAAAGAAAGCACTTCTAAGAGAAGAGATTGATCAACTTGTGCCAACTGAAAGTAAAATGAGGACTGAGAGTTTTCTAACTCTCATGGTTATCACGACATAAGAGAATCTGTAAAGTAAGAGGAAGGAGAAAACAAAAGCCTAATTCAAGAGGGAATGGGAGAAGAGAAATTGGAGACAATGAATAATAACAATTATTTGAAGAAATTTTGCTGTAAACGAAAGAAGAGAAAAGAAGCAACAACTAGCTGAAGAGGAATATGGGATCAATAAAGGGATTTTTCAAGATAGAAGAAATAACAGTCTATTTGTAGGCTGATAGGAATGCTCAATAGAGAAGGGGAAAATGATGATTTTGAAAAAAGTTAATGAAATGGAGAGGGAAGAACAACTGGAACCATGTCTGTGAGAAGGCGACAGAGGAGGACGGGCTCTAATATGGGAAGTTTGACAGGAACCTGACATTCATTCAGAGCACAGGAGGAACGTGCATGGGCACTGAAGCTGGTACATGGACACAGGTGGTGACGG